CAGCACATTTAGACACTGACTTGCTGTATAGCAGACTATCTTTAAGAAATAAATTTTTAAAATTCTTCCATTCTAAACTAAACTAAAAGTGGTATGTATTAAGTTTAGGATCCCAAAACGGGCGGAGCGTCTTACGTCAAAGACCTACAGAAAAAGTATTTTCTGGAAGGCTATGCGCTTCAGGGACTGCTACCAAAACACTGCGATCCCACTGACTTCAACAGGAAGGATATTCCTTCATCAGAGAATCGGGCTGCAAAATAACCAAGCTTTCTGTGTTGGCCCGGTCCCTTCTGAGCCACTCTAACACGTGTACCTGCAACTTACCGGAGCACCAGCTCCAGGGGGTCCAGGACTCTTGGGAGTCTCCTCTTGGTTCTGGGGAGCTTCTTCAGGTCCCCGAGTCACAAGAATTCGAAAATGCTGCTGCCCTGCATTTTGATCCTGCCTGATCTTGAACATGCATCCTGGACTCTGCGGGGATCTCTCTGAATTTGTCCTGCGGATCTCCGGGACCATCCTACTGGTCCGAGGAGATGCCTCTGGGGTCCCTCGGTCTTCGGTGGGGCTCACCCGGCCTGCTCGGGGTTGCGTGGGGTATGAGGTGCTCCTCTCCAGCCGAATGCGCGGATACCTCACCAACCTGTCCCCCTTAGTGCCAGTGAAGCCAAAGTTGAAGTCACCGCCCAGCCCCAGAGCTCCTTGCTGGGGCTGTTGCAGCTGAAAGACAAAGCAGCGCTTTCCAGAGCTCCCAGAAGCGTCTGGAACATGCTGGAGGGACCAGCGTCTGGGTTCTGCTTGGCCATCCGGGCCGAAGGGCAGCAGCCGCACCTGGCGCACATCGGCACTGGAGGCTCTGTGCTGGATGCGCAGGCCTGGGGTGGCCTCCTCTGTATCCTCAGGCAAGCGGGGACACTGACCACGGTGATCACAAGTGCCGTTGATCAGGGTCCCAGGATCCCAGGCTGCCCTTGGAGGGGAGCTTCCAGGAGTGTCCACTGGAGAGGGCTCCGATGAGCTAATCTGAGCCGAGACCCTTGTGGCCGCGGCCTGGTCTCCGAGGTCAGCCTGGGCACTCGGGGGCCTGTCGTCAGGGCCCTCGGGTGGCCCGCAGCTGTCTGTGGCACCGTCTGCGGCCTTGCGCTGCAGCGAGATCTGCACTGAGGAGCTCCGTGTGGGCCTGGTGTCCACTCCGGTCAGAAGCTGCGGTATGAACATGGATGAGCTGCGCTTGAGAGCACCCACGCCCTCCTGCAGGCCACCGTCCTCCCCTGTGCTCTGGGTGAAGGGGTGCGGGCTGCTTCTCCGTGGCAGCGTGTGGAATGCCATGAAAAAGTCCTCTTCTCTCTCCTGGTCTAGAATCTCAGACTCGGGGGCCGTATTGCTGCGTCCAGAGCCAAAATGAAACCGAAGCCGATGGGCCATGGTGACCAGGGGGGCCAGGAGGGAGAGAGCGAGCGACAACACGCCCAGCAATGCCAGAAGTCAAAACCCAAAGACACCAACTCCAAGAAAAAGTGTCCCATCTGCCAAACTGTTAGCACTGCGGCACCAAGAGCGACAGATAGCAGAAATAGCCCAAGTGGCAAGCAGCATTCCAGGCATGATTGGATAAGAGCAAAAAGCTCTCATCTAGTCTGTGACAGAGGGTAGGATGGCCAGAGACACATGACCGCCCGCTCCCCCTCCAATGCCAGCTTCTGAACTTAGTGAAGTTTCCCCTCTCTTGCGGTCCCCCCCCCCCCAACAGCAAGAGCCTGAAACAGCACCTTCCCAGCTGCTGCTGTTCTGTCAGAAAGGGGCGGCCCAGCAGGGAGCTCAGGCAGCTGACTGAGGCAGCAAACACACTCACAGCTATGCCGCTGTAAATCTGACCCATCACACTCACGGGGAAATGCTTTCCCAACTACCACAAGCACTAGGTCTCTCTCCTGTTGACGCCGGGGAGCCTGCACGAAGCACAGGCACTCAAAGGTATGTCCTCCACCTCCCCGCCACACCAAAGAACAAGTAAAACACAGCTCGGCTGCGCGGCGAACCTTCTCAAGCATCAAATGTTCTGTTTTTGTTATGATATCACTACACTGCCACGAGGGAATGCAAAGTAATAAAATGTACTATAAATACGATTACACACCCTACGGAATTAGTGTCCCTTTAATGGGAAATAATTAGACCATGATCTACAAGTAACAAAATAGCCAAGGGAAGGCACAGGGGGCACAACAAGGCACTGCCAGCTGTGAGCCTGGTCCAGCTCTTACTACTTACTATAAACATTCTGCATTTAAAGGGGTGTGTGTGCCACATATAATATGATCACCAGAAACAGCAGTTAACAGAGAAAAGAAACCCAGCTGGAGAAAACAAATCTCTCTCATAACTCTCCCCCCCACACGCACACACACACACGCACAGAGAGAGAGAGAGAGAGAGAGAGAGAGAGAGAGAGAGAGAAAGAGAGAGAGAGAACTGAAGAGCAGTGCATGTGGGCTTAGTAGTAATTTAACTTAAAAACATACAGAAGAAAGGCCTGGAGCTGTTTTCCCGGGAGAACACATCAGGATCACCACATCCTAAAAATTTTTAGGTCACAGACCTAAAATCTTGCCGTCTGCAATGGGCCAGGGGAAAAAAAAAATCTAAGAACTAAAAGTGAACGCCCAAAAAATTGTCAGTGGAGATCCTGGAATGAACCTGGAAATCCTCTCTGCATTTTAAATATACTCTTTCCTATGATTCAGAAACACCAGTTCCTTAACAAAGAGATTTGTTTAGGTGGGACTTAAAAAAAAAAAAAAAAGCCAGGAGGGGAAAGAGTGAGAAAAACTTATTTTGAAATCGACAAAGCAAGTCTTTGTTTACTGCTCTGGAGCAGAGGGTGTGGTGGATTAACCCCGTGTTTACACACACGAACTTGTTTCCTAAATGCATAGAGTTCTGAATGGCAAAAATAAGCTCTGTGAGACTTAGACTCTAGTCTGCTCAATGCCAGAACTTCCAAGTAGATTCCAGTCACGTATTGTGTCGGCTGGATTAGCAGTCAACAAAGGGGAAAGGCCACCACCAGCACCATTGGCAATCTATGCATGGTAGCTGCGTGGCAGACAGCTCGGGGTAAGAGGGGTAAGATAAAGCAGAACATATAAAATAGGACCACTCAGTTTTTAAAGTACTCTGTAGTCAGAGCCTCCTTTTGGTTTGGAAATACCTTTCTTACCCACGGCAAGGTCACACAACTACAAGCATTATTTTAGAGCACACAAATGTGGGATAGAAAGACTTTCTAAATAGGAAATCTCTTTTAGTAGGAGAGCACGAAGAGGCACTTTCTCTTCAAGTCTGACCATTGCTTCATTTTAAAACGATTTTCCTCCTCAAATCAGAGGTAAGTATCGGTTTATGGAGGCCCTGTCCCTGCAGAGACTTACTGCTTGCGTTATTTCAATGAATGCCACCAGTTCAGTGACCGGCTCTTGCTAGATCAGAGTATGAGAGGCAGGAACTACACTGAGCAATTCACACAATAGTTACTCAGTGCCCCTAGTGATCACTCCCACAAGCCACGTACCATGTCAACAAAGCCACCATGATCCATATTTATAAGTGGAAAGATGCTGGGCTAGGAGGTACAATCTGTTAGCTTTCCCTTTGGGAGAATAAAGCCAAGCGCGTCAGATTATATCTGCCCACAAATTCTTTATTAAGGGTAGAGGTTCTGGCTATTCCCCAGCGTAAGTTGACATTGAGATGCCCAGGTGCTGGACCCCGTGTGCCCCCTGATCAGCATTTAATCATATTCGGACTCCGAAGCAGAGCTGTTTCATCCTTAATAACAGCAGAGCGTGGAACTTTGTCTCAAGAATCCTCTTGACGATACTTTCTGTCAACCTCAAGCTAGTCTATAATGTGTGGAGTCTCAGTTGAATTCTGTAGAAAGATGAGGTCACGAACACACATTCCTTTTAGGCAGGGCAGTAAACAGGAGTATAATCAATCAAGCGCCCTGAATTTTATTCCCACTTCTCAGGGTGCTTTCAAGACTTACACATAACTTGATCATGTTCATTTTTTCAAAGCTGGGACATGAGGCCCATGGGAATTTGATGTAAACATTCTAGTTTCTTAGGAGAATGCTAGGCTAGCATGATATCTCAGTTGATAGAGGCCCTTGTCATGCAAACAGTCACCTGTGTCCCTGGAACATACAGAAAAGTGGAAGGAGGGAACCAACTCTACAAAGCTGTCCTCTGGTCATCACACATGTGCTTTATATTCTACGTCAATTACACATATATTATAGATCTGTATATAAAATGTTTGCTGTATCAGTTATCTTCGAGCATGTCTTTGGGATTCCTTATTTTGCTTTTGGTGGGTTTTATTTCACGTATGGGTTTCTTATTTTTACTGAATGGGGAATGGAGCCTCGCATATGTTAGGCAAGAAATCTGCCACAGAGCCACACCTCCAGCTCTTATGCTCGTCCTTTGAAATGACTTTCTAAGTTTTTTTTCCTAAGGTGTCACTGTTTGACTTCAACAGTAAAGGAGATTTGCCTTAACTATACACTGTGAATTAGACTTTTGCTTCCTCAGAGACAATCGCCATAGAGTTGTCTGTGAACTCACTGTGGCATGCTAAGCCTGAGGAACATTTTAAATGGCCACAAGCCTTGGTTACAGGATTGATGACATTCTCACAGATGCACCTTTGCATCTGAGTTCCCTACACAAAGAATAATGAGGCCTTTGGGATGAGCCTCATAGTTATAGGTGACTTTTATCAATATTAACTATAAAAAGTACACATACCCAAATAAAATTTCTGTCCTAGCAACACACAAATATTTGCCAGTATTGAGAGCTTGAACAGTGAGACCAAAAACAGTTTTTTGGAGGCATGTGCACTGCTGTGAATGACCTGGAAGATCTCAAAGGTACCACTCGAAAAAATCAGTTTTTAAGAAAAGAAAGCAAAACTCAAAACCAAGGACTTACCAATCTGTTCTCATCAAATACTTCAAACAGGAGCCTATGATTAGATGGATTTACCTAAAAGGGACAGAAACTATATTTAAATATCAACAGGTATCATTTTAAATTTGATCTAAGAGACAGGAAGAATCAAGAATCACATTGGACTCTACTGTATAATAACGACTGACCTGCTTATCTGCTATTATTCTACCCCAAATATCTAGGCATACCAGAAAAAGGCAGTATCTTTATTGTTGTTTCTTAACAGTCCAGGAGCTCCAATCTCTTCTACAGAGCTACCCTCATATCTGCAGATCAAGGCCTTATGCTCATTGGCCTAATGAAGGTAATGATGAACACGCAAACAGCTATATGCCATTGTGCCCCACCTCCAACTATTATTTCCTGAACTACTAACACTTTATGGTCTCATTTTTTTTTCTCCCAACAACTCAACAGTGTGTAACTATCACTTCATTTTCACACAGAAATCACTGAGCCCAAGTGGGTGGTGAAGCAATTTACCCAGGAGCACACAAGCCAGTATATTGAGCAATCAGGACTTGCCCTAGGTTAGGGCAAAGTCACAGCCCTGAGAGTTGTCAGTGTTTGTTTCTTTCTCTTTACCCCAACTCACCCAAATAACCTGTGTTTCATCATGTGGACTCAGGTGCCACTGACTGACTACCTTACCAATCCTGCCGGACACGGTATCAGGTATTGCTACTGACACACTCGCCTATCGATCAGGGAAGAAAAGCCTACTTCTCCAGGAGACTGTGAATGTTTGGTGTCCTCAAGTTCTCAAAGTGAGTGGCAACGGCAGGCATGTGAGTTGGGTCTAATGCTAGGCTTGGGCTCCCCATGGAACATGGGATGAAATTATATTTGGTTGTAGCACAGAGAGCTCATGTGCTCAACTTGAGCTCCTGGCCCCGTGTCTGCAGACAGCTTTGCAACAGAACAAGCAGATGGATGGATGGCTGTTCATCAACTCTGCCAAAGGCTGCACACCTATCAGAAATGCATCAATAGTCTACAGTAGAAATGGGCATGCAATAGGCATTTGTTAAGAAACTGTGCGGGGACTAAAGCAAAGATCTTTAAAAGAAAAACAAAAGAAAAAGAGAAACAAATATGCCTATAGGTAAGACTTATAGACAAAGTTTTATATATAATAAAATTCATACAATGTGGTTCAAATGGAAGGAGAGCAAATGATTTAGCTCCCCGAGAAAGTGTTTGTTGTATCTGAGCACTAAAAAAGATCTAGTAACACTTCTGAGCCATCAACAGCTTCTCAGCCCTTCCCCAACTTATCTAAACTGTACCTGGTAGAGGCTGAACATGGGATCTACCAAGTGTTAAAACCTCAGAGCCATGTTTCAGCTTTGAACATAACAGAAAACAGATGCAGGGAAAGTCATCCAAGTTTGCAGCACAGAAAATCCTACCACGGCTGAGAGAAGCCAGGGCTGTGTGCCTGGCTCTTAGTATGCAGTCACTACAAGGCCTAAGCTGGAGCAGTTTGGAGGTGAGTCTTTCTTAGCATCCCGGGTGTACAGACAACTCAAATTTTCATTTTTAAAGGGAAACTCCTTCTTCTCTTCCAATTAAATGGCTGAGGGGCTTGATGCTTCCAAATATTTGCTAGCAAACACCAGCAAGCACCGGCCTCCATCAATTCACAGAATCCCCTTCAGTATCCAGCTGTTCTAAACAAGGGGTGCCGGAAGCTGAGGAAACGTTCTTCTATTCGGTGGTATTGAATGTAATTGTACACATTAGATCTCTGAATTAGAAATCTTTCCCTTCTATCCCGAACATAACTGGTAATTTTCTGTCTTTTGTGGGGAGGCAGTGCTGGTGCTCAAACCCAGGGTCTCCAGAATGCTAGGGAAGTACTCTGCCACTGAACTACCCCTGTCCTCATCACTGGTAATTAGTGATGCTTCCTTTTAATTATCTCTCTACTCTGGATGCAGTTCATAATCCGCATCACATAGAAATCATTCGGCTACTGTTTTAAATTGCACTGTCTTTTTGCCTTTTTTTACCTTCAAATTTTATTTTTTTTAAAGGTTGCAAAACAAACAAGCTCAGAACTGGAATTAACCAGACCCCAAAGTCTTATTTTTACATTTAAATATTATATTTAAAGGAAAGTTTGATCTGTAAAAAGAACATGATATCTTGACGACCTTTTCTATCTCTCCTCTACAAATGAAACCTTCACAGATTTTCAAAATTTGGGACATAGTCTGAGTCTACCGAACCCAAACATTTTCCTGTCTTAAGAGAAATTTCTTACTTTTAAAATGCTATCTAGTTTTCTTTCCATGAGTCTATTTTGATATATCAATCTAGGTATGAATAGTATTACTACAAAATGAAAGAAAAACTTACTCTAAAATAAAACTCTTCGTTCCACTTCGGGTTCAGCGTCTGGAAGAGAGAGAATTCTGTGATCTTCAGCTGTGCTGGAGCTGTTACTAATACAACACAAGCTCTTCACATTTGTGCAAACAATTTCCTCATAAAAGCGATTTCAAAATGGCAATAAAAGCAACATTTAGTCAATTATCCGAGACTATTCTATAAACCCAAATTGGGTGGGGAGAGACTATATTTATGAAAGTCATGATTCATGACTATGAAACCATAAATTGCACGAGCTCACCCAAAGGAAAAATGCTGGGACTTACCGACAAAGAGCCACGAGAAACAAAAGTCCCCTTTAGAGAATGACATTAAAAAGGATTTACTCTGTCAAGAAGGACGTACACTCTGTTGATTCCCCTCTACCTGCTACAAGTGTGTGTTCACAGAGGAGAGGCTAAAGGTTCTCATTACTTACATCTTCGTCGATATTTGAAGAATATTTTCACAGAGAACAATATTGAGGAGATTTTAACACACACACACACACACACACACAAAGAAAACTATGTTTTTCTTTTCCCTAAAGCAATCATTTAAAAGATATCCTTTGACCCCCTTCATTCACATATCATTCACCTTAACTACGCATCCCGCAAGAACACAGCAACGATATTCTGGTGTTGAGCTTGAACTAAACAGTCTTCTAATTTAACATGAAGTACTTTCTATGAAGGAACACATATATACACATCACACACAACCAACACACATCACTCATGCAACACAGATTTGTACAGGCATAAAAGTCAGAAACACAACCTGTAAAAACAGCCTATAAAATTCTGAAAATGAAAAGTTGTTCGCCAACATATTTACCTCTTAACAGGGGAAAGAGAAATACCCAGCTTACTAAACCACACATGCAGAACAGCACTGTGGCAATGATCAATTGACATCGGTTAAAAAATAACAACCCCCAACTCCAGAGAACACCACCCTAAATGACCGCACTTTGGGGGTATGAACAGAACTGAGATAGAATTGGGGGTGGCGAGTGCTCCCCTTCAGAACTGGAAGACAGCTACATGGAACGAAACAGAAACAAAAGGAAACCACAAAGCAAAAGGAGCAGGGACACAGGTAGAGGAAGCATGAGCTCTCCCACAAGCACCGCACAGTCCAGCACCACACAGCACCACACAGCAATACTAACCAGGAACCGGGCCGCGAGAATGGAGACACTCCCTCCAGCTGGCGAACGGAGGGAGAAGCAGGGCTGCCACTCCGAATGAAAGACATTGTAATACCATAGTCACTGGCATGGGTCCTTGGCTCTAGCCCAGCAGGGGACCAGGCCCCCTGACTGCAGTTCTGACTAGAGACCCAAGCTTCAGTGGGAACAGAACAAGTGCCAGTGCCTAACACTGGGAACAATGGCCTCCCTCCTCATAGGCGGCCTCCCACTAATCTCTACACTGGCTTGTTTGCAAACAGGTTTCACTGCTGGTTTTCAATGCCAGGTGAAGGACACTGTTTCCTACACAAAATGACCTGATAGTGCCGTAAATCTTAAGTGTCTCCATAGCAGCAGGAAAGATACAATCTTTTTAAAACAATCATGGAATCAGAAAACATTTCATAGAAAACGATATGTGTGTGTGTGTGTGTGTTTGTGTGTGTGTGTGTGTGTGTGTGTGTGTGTGTGTGTGTGTGTGTGTGTGTAGGGGAGGATAATAATAACTCAAACAACTCCAAACCACAAATATATTCTTGGTAGAAAACATGAAACTTTAACAAAGCCCTATCCCCATCCTCGCCCAAGATATAAAGATGAAGTATCCCTATATTTTTTATATATAAACAAAAATGTAGAGGTGAGTGAATTTAGACATTATTGTTATTATTATTATTATTATTATTATTATTATTATTATTATTATTATTATTATTATGCAGGGATCTCAGTCAGTAAGATGCTCGCTGTGAAAGTATGCAGGGCTAAGTGGGAATCCCAGCACCCATGTAAGCAGTGGGCGGAGCAGTTCACAGCACCTGTCATGCCAACACCCAGTGTGGCAGAGGCAGCAGTAGGGGATCCTGGGACTTGCTGGCCTGCTTATCTACTCAAGCCAGAGAATTCTGGTTTAGTGACAGGCCCTGCTTCAAAATACAGGGGATGAATGATTAAGCAAGACACTTGATATTTGCCTGTGGCCTCCGCACACACATGCTTATTTCTCCTTCCACATGAATATGCACAACACACACACACAATCAGGAAAAGACACACACATGTATAATTTTACTATTAACACATCCTGTGTATTTCTGCTTCCTCAAGAAGCAGTTATTTCACAAATCAAACCATTCCTCTTTTGCCTGCCAAGTCCACCATCCATTTCATTAAATAAACTTTATGAAAACTATTAAGTTAACCAGAATAATTTGTTTGGTTATATGTGTTGTAAGGAAAAAAAAACTTTATAGAGATAACTCAGGTAAAACATGGAAAAGTTTTGGACCATGGGCGATTTTTAGACGTAATACTAGAGTCACTTAAAATAAAAATATTGCTATCTTATTTTTTAAAACATAAATTTCTACAGAGCCAAAATACAAAATGTAATTGGGCTAAATTATGACTTATATGAATTTCATAAAAGTTAGCCAACCTACCTTTTTAATTGTCTTTGTTTGAACCAAAGCAAGTTCTCTATTCTCATCCGCTACATACAATGACAGCTTCACATACGGGTCACTGCAAGGAAATAGCTCAGGTTTAATGGTACTATACTTTTTTCATTAAAAACAAACAAGCAAACAAAAGCAGCAAAACGAAATGAAACTGTAAACACCAGGTAATGCCCCAGCTAATATTTAAGTCCATACACTAAGCAGCATATTTTGATAAATGTTCCTGCCAAACAGCCCAAGATAAATAACACACACACACACACACAAAAAACCAGTGTTCTAACTTTAAAGATGATCTTTCCAATAATCAACTCAAAATAATTAAAGCTGTCATCACTCTCAGACTTTTGACAGATTTTCGGACCGATTATTAGGATTAATGTAATAATATTATTTTCAGAGAGATTATTAGTTTATTTGCTTCCACATATCAAGAAAACGTAAGTTTACAACCCATTCATATTCTCATTTCTGTCATGTGGGTAAATTATTTTTCTTCTAGTGGAGATAAAACTATGATTATTCACTCAAACCATGACAGATAAAATAAACCAACACTTCAGAACTAAACATTGGAGCCTAGGAAATTCAATGGTTATCCAAAGACAGATACTGGAAAAAAAAATCTAAATTAAACTTTCCGTTTTCTGACTACAAGTCCTCGCACATATTTCACAATCTTTACCTTGAGAAGCCGCATCCTCCAGCAAGGGAAGTATTGAAAAGTGTAAACTAATGTAGACCACCTACTAAGAGTGCCAACCCACTCATATTCTCTAGTGTTTCTAACCCAAATGCCCCAAGTTACCCAGGTTTTCATTCTTGAAAAATTGGGGTGGGGACAGTCAGATGGCTCAGCTGGTAAAGAACCTGACTTGTAAGTCTAAGGACCCAAGTTCAATCCCTGGTACCCACATACGAATGGAAGGAGAGAGATGACTCCACAAGGTTATCTTTTTATCTCCACACAAATTGATCCACCCCCCCCTCTCTCTCTCTCTCTCACACACACACACACACCACGGAAAAATATCCTGTATGCAGGGATTTCTTATCTGTTACTCTCCAGAATCCAGAAAACACAAAAGTTTTCTTACGTATTCACCTCCCTGGTTTCCCTTATCTAATTACCTATACCTGCTAATTTATTCCTATCACTCTACTGTGCCAGTTTCAAGCCAAACTGAGAGATATGTTATTCAGTATGCCAGAGTGATGTACTAACCAAACCCTAGAACTTATACGAAGTTTGAGGCCTGAGGATGGAAAGAGACACCATTTTAGAGATGACACCCCCCTGCAACACACACAACAGAAAGAGTTATCCTTAAGTGGCTATCCCAACAGCAATTAAACCTTATTTTACAAATTCCAAAGTATTCCTAAAGATTACGGAAAATACTTTAAGATGCTGAGAGTACATTAATTCCTATATGGTATCTTCTACAACAAGTCTATGTTATGAACCCTTCACAAAAGGCTTGCAGGAAGACTAATAGTCAAGAGACAGTACACAAAACACAGGCCAGGAGATGCTTCAGTGGGTGAAGCGCTTGCCATGCAAGCACGAGGGCCTGAGTTCAGATCCCTAGCACCCAGATAAATGTTGAGTGGCACCTAGCACCCAGATAAACATCATAACCAAATCATCATCCTCCTAATAATAACAACAGTAAGTATTATTAATACTATTAATAGTATTATATCATAATACTAATAATAAAAAAGCAAGAAGCAACTGAGGAAGACAACATGGTCCTCTGGTCCCTATACGCACCTGAAGTGGACAATTGAATCCACAAACCCGCACATTCACTCACAATACACCTTCTACTCCCTACACACACAAAACCAAAGGTCTGTAAAATATTAGTATACAGAAAAAGTTATTTGCCAATCTTACCTTTGTTCATAAATAGAAAGCTTGCCTTGGAGAAGGAACATTTAATTAGATAAATCCACTTCTTACCAGGCACAGCTTCAGAAAGAGAGCCACCAAGAGCCAGTATCCATCCCCTGCACAGGGCCCCAAGAACACCTTCCCTTGGAGGTCTCTGATCTGCAGCGTGGGTCAAATTTGCCTTTTTGGTCAGTACTGTTCCTTAGTCTTAGTCTATCAGACTCTCTGAGAGGGATTGCTGGACCCCATGGCTGAAGCCAAACTCAGCCTGAAGAGAGAACCCACAAGTTACATTTCTGGAAAATTACCAGCTGCAGAGTTACCTGGTGCAGGAACCACACTTGGAAAGCCAGTGTTCTAAGTGGTATCTGAAAAGAGCATTTTCTAGCAGAAGACTTTATTTCCTTTCTTGTCTAGCCACCGGTCTATTGCTTTGAAAGCTCCTGATGCCTGCACTCAGTCTTGAGAACAGGCTTCTGGTGTAGTGGATGAGGGAGTGCAAACTCTCACAGGTAACCCCACACACTCCACAGAATACCATAAACTCCCCTGTGTTTTCAGATTTTACATCCCTCTGCCATTACAGCTGGCTACTATGTAACTAACCATTATGAGGACGCAGCTAAGCCTCACCTTAATAGAACATCTGTTCTTCCCCTGGTGATTCATTCACCTCGGGTTATCTTCCCTGGCTGGTGGGTGGGGTCTCTGATCTTGGGACCGTGCCTTCCAGCTGCAATGAGGAAGGTATGCCTGTGCAGGTACTGACTGAAGTGCTCGAGGTACGACAGACCCTATGAAATATTGACCGAGGAACTTCCGGGTGCACGATTCAGCCTTAAGAGAGCCAAAGGCCAAGGGGCTGGAGCAGGCTAAAGGTCAGTGTGGTACAAGTCCAAGGCTGGGGAAAACAATAACTAGTCTAGCTGACTCTGGGGCAGCCCTTCCCATTCTGCTGGGGCTTAACCACGCTTAACGTCGGGCTACTCACGAACGAGGTAGGATGGCGATTCCTAACTCACAGAGCAATAGGCTGAACATCACTACTGGTCAGCACAGGGCCCAACAGTACATATGCCCCTGACGCAACAGCTGCTCTCTTAGGAGAGCTTTGGGGTTTTCTGGATGCTTCTATTTCCCACGTGTGCTGATTTGTTGACCGGGTCGATGCTGATTTGTTGACCGGGTCGATGCTGATTTGCCACATACTTTGCACTGGGTGTGCCAACCACAACTTGATAGGTATTCCACGCTCCCTTGTTATTCATTCCGACAGGCACCTGGGTAAGATGCTCACAGTAGCCATCGTATTCAAATCAGCCCAGTCCTGGTTCCTAGTTTACCGCTCTGGTGACTAAGCACAGCTCAGGGCTAGCATTAATAGAAATCTGTAAGAAGCTCAGGCCTCAAATTGTAGGCGCCTGGAAAAGGAGTGATAGTCTGCACGTCTTTGAAACAGTGGGCTGGTCTAGGTAAACATTCCTTCCCCAGGAGAAGCTTTCTATGTCACTGACAAAAAGCCAACTATAGCCTCCCTCCTTTTAGCCCCTTTTAAGGAGCCAACAAATTGATGCTAGAATTCAAGCCATCTCCTATTTACTGTGTGCGTATTCCATGCCACGTGAGGAGTAAGCCCCAGACTCCGCAGGCCCTGTCCCTGCTCCACCTGCTTGGATATCATTCGTGTTCAAAAGAAGGTAAAAATCACTTTACAGACATGAGTCACACAAGGGGCTCCAGAAAATCAATGCTAGCCGACAGGGATGCTGAAACAGAAAGCAGAGCCACCAGGAACTGCCGAATGTCACCGAAAAGTAGCCCTGTTCACTCATGAGAGGGCATATCAGAGACCTTGCTCGCAGTCCATTCTGATTTTTTTCAAACTTCCCAGAGTTTTTACAACAGCCATCTTCCCCAAGCTCAACATGGAGCCGAGCGCTGGGAATTCTGGGCCCCTAAACTAAGAGAGACGAGCTCTTGAGCCTATGTGTTGCTGATGGCGTCGAGGAGAGGGTCTGTACAGACCTCAACTGGATTTAAATAATTAAGAGATGCGAATCTTTCTTGGGGTCTCATTTTCCAACACCCCCACCCTCCATCACCAGAGGCAAAGATCCTGTTCATGAGATCACTCTTCATGGAGAGTTGGACATTGGCCTGTCTGGTTTACCCTGTTACTCAATCTTCCAGGACACTCTGGACAAGGACCTTGAGTCATGGCACGTCGCTGGTGGGGTATTACCTGACCAGCTCCACTCACTCGCGGCGAACCACATTCTTTCCTACCTGTATTTACTCGTTTTTATTAGAATAAATAATCCTGACTGAGAACCACATATTTTCCAGGGGGCAGGGCAGGCAGGGGCTGACTTTAATGGGCCACATGTTCAAGGCAAATTACATCCAGAGTGGAAGACAGGTTTCCTAGTAACTGAAGAGGCCTCTCCTACTGAAGCCGAACATCAGAAACCTGAAAATGGTCCATACTCTGAAGGAAGTTATCATTCCTCTTTGGGTAAGGAAGGTTGTGGATGCCGCAGTGGACACTTGTAGGAAAAGTATGACTTTGTTCCCTACCAACACAGCACAGAGGCCTAATGACTACAGCACACGGCATGCCATGTTTACTTTGACTGCCTGGCACACTATGACTTACCCAGATGGCGTCACTGAAAAGCCCCTTTCTTGTTCTTTCCCACGTCTACTCTCAGGGTCACACACTTATTTAGAGCCTCGATAAAGAAATCACACTTATAGAAACACTTCAGAGTAAGGGGAAATACCTAGAAAGTGTGACAATAAATAAAACCCACAAACACATGCAACAACTCAAGCTTTTATAACAGATTATGTAAGCCTGAAGAAAGTTAACACATTGTTGGAGGGAAACATTTCAATGCTCTGCCTCCAGAAGGACAAGTTATTGCAAGTTCCCTGGAGAAAAGCATGGCAGGAGTAGCCAGCGCATCCAAAGAGCTGATGGATGCCCTTTGACTCCTATTTACCCCTGGTGACTGACCCCATGGGCACTGAGATGTCAGATACCCCACATGCTCATCAAACCTTCACAGAGAATAAGAAAATATTAGAAGCCCACTCTACCCAATTAGGGAAACAAATAAATTATGCTATAATCAGGGAACCAGATTATAAGCAATTAAAAT